ACAACGATCCGTCCAGGCCCTGAGGCAGCAAAGCACCCCTAAACCATGATGCTCCCTCCGCCATGTTTTACAGTGGGGATGAGGTTTTGATGTTGGTGTGCTGTGCCTTTTTTTCTCCACACATAGTGTTGTCTGTTCTTCCCAAACAACTCAATCTTGGTTTCATCTGTCCACAGTATATTTTGCCAGTAGTGCTGTGGAACATGCAGGTGCTCTTTTGCAAACTTCAAACGTGCTAAATGGCTTCCTCCGTGGTGTCCTCCCATGTACTCCATTCTTGTTTAATGTTTTCCTTATTGTAGATGTGTCAACAAAAATGTTAGCATGTGCCAGAGATTTCTGTAGGTCTTTAGCTGACACTCTGGGATTCTTCTTTACCTCATGCAGCATTCTGCGCTGTGCTCTTGCAGTAATTTTTACAGGACAACCACGCCTAGGGAGAGTAGCAACAGTGCTAAACTTTCTCCATTTGTAGACAGTCTGTCTTACCGTGGACACATGAACATCAAGGCTTTTGGAGATACTTTTGTAACCCTTTCCAGCTTCATGCAAGTCAACAATTCTTGATCGTAGGTCTTCTGAGAGCTCTTTTCTGCGAGGCATGGTTTACATCAGACAGTGCTTCTTGCAACCAGTAAACCCGAAACAGGTGTGTGTTTTTTTTAAGGGCAGGACAGCTGTCAGCAACACATCCAATATCATCACACTGATTGGAGTCAAGGTTGGCTCACTCCTGGCTCCAATTAGCTCTGGGAGAAGTCATTAAGCTAGGGCCTCACATACTTTTTCCTCCTGCACTGTGAATGTTTACTTGTTATGTGAAAATAAACCATGGAAACATCTAATGTTTGTGTAGTATTATGTTCAGCAGACTGTGTTCTTCTATTGTTGTGACTTAGATGACGTTCAGAGCACATTTTATGCCCAGTTCATGCAAAATTCCACGTAATCCCAAGGGGTTCACATACTTTTTCTTGCAACTGTAAATGTCCATCTCCTGCAGGCAAACCCTCTCTTTCTGCTCATACCCCACTCGCTCACAGCCCATTGAGAATTACAGGTCTGTCTGCTGCAGTGGCAGATGGGACTTGTAGTTTATTCATTCACAGATTGCTGCAGAGCCCCGCGTAACTGCACTGATTTTAAAGCAGAACATTTTTGTCCCATGCAGTGGGTCTGTGCCTGCACTGCATGGATAAACTTCCTTCAGCTAATAACCAAATCTTCTATTTCTCCCATCAGTTCGTCACCCATATTTATTACCTTTTGTACCACTAGCCCCTCCCTGTTAGATTGTAAGTTCCGAGGAGCAGGGCCCTCCTAACCCTCTTGTATTGAACTGTATCGTTGCCATATTGTCTCCCTATATATTTGTCTGGGGACTTAATCGGTGCGCCAATCTACTTGTGCCTCACGACAATCTACTTGTCCAGATGAACAAAAGAATTCATTTTAACCAAAGCCGTATTTAAATCAGAGGTGATTTTAGGAATGTTTTAAAAACAAAAGGGTTTTATGGCGACTTAAATGTGTAACATTTTTAACATTGTGCTTTTTATCTCCCCCCCCCCCCCCCCCCCCCCCCCCCCCCCCCGTCTCCAGCACCACATCCGGGGACTAGCAGGGAGGAGAGAGACCTTGCAGTGTAATGAGCACCGATTGGATATCCCTCAGAAAAGGGGAGTGTCGGGCTTATCCTTTATCCCTTTTGCTGCCAGAGCCGTTTTTGCATTTTTTGTACAAGATTAAAAAAATCATTTTAGGCCTGAAGATTACATAAAACCGCCAAACATATATTTTCTGAAACCAGAAACCCTAGAGAATAAAAGTGAAAGTTCCAATTTTTTTATGTTGCATGATATTACTGCAAAATTTCAGTAAAAATACAAGTTAATTTTAGGGCACAAAAAAGCAATAAATTACCCTATTTCTTTTAAAAATATAAAAGACGAGGTTGCACCGAGTAAATAGATATCCAACATGCCAAACCTTAAATTTGCGTGCACTTGTGAAATGGCGGCAAATTTCAGTACCCTAAATTTTCTATAGGCGATGCTTTTAAAGCTTCTTTATAGGTCATCAGTTTAGTGTTACGGAGGAGGTCTGGTGCTAGAATTATTGCTGTAATTCTGGCGTGCGCGCGGCGATATGTGACATGTGTATTGCAATCGGCGTTTACATGCGTAGGTGCCCCAGCGTGTGCTTTTATATTTGTACGTGCGTGGGTGAGGGGCTCATTGTTTTAGGGGAGGTGTTATGTGCTTAGGTGTAAGTTTAATTTTTTACAATTAAAATTTTTTTTTATACACTCACTTTTTTTTCATCGCATAAGGGACAACTCCCCTATGTGATGATATTAAGTGAGAGGTTCTCTTTATTGACACATCCAATGTCTAAAAGACCCAGCATGTCTCCCCTGTACTACACTGAATGTAAATCAGTGCACATTGCACTGCATTACATTTAGTGAATCTCTCAATGGGGACCTGGAATTGACATCATAAAGTCACTTCCGGGTAAGGACACGAAGGGGGGAGGGGAGTGGACATGTCCGCTCTCCTCCCTCCACTCTAGCTGATGGAAGTGAATAGGGCAAGCGGAGCCCGGGAGATAGTGGGCGGGGGGAGGTTCACACGAGGGGACGGAGAGGCTGGCACTGTGTGGAAGCAATCGGCAGCAGCGCTGCCACCGATTGCTTCCACCTGACAGATGAGCCCTGCTGCTTGCCCGCAGCAGGGCTAAAGGTAGAAAAATACTACCTGCCGGGAACTACATGTCCCAGGCATTGAGAGACAGGAATTTAACATCCCTGATAAATCCTGTATAATAATAATAGGGGTGAATACACAGCTTATATTCGCCCGATCCTTTGATCCTCCAGAAAACGGAACTTCCCCATTTCCAGCGGTGAACTGTTCTGCTGTCCTCTTGTCCAGAACTGGTCTGTGGGTGTGATAACATCAGGAACAGTTCACTGCACAAGACCACGCAGCAGGGACTGGTCTTGCGCTAGGAGGATCAACCGATTAGTAAGTATATCTCCGCTCTCCTCACCCCTAGGCAAAAATGAGCGATTTACCCATGCAATGCTTACACAGCCCCACTGCATAGGACTGAAAAAAAAATAATGGAATTCTGCTTTAAATTTGACAGTGACCATGGGGGTGAGCATCTCTCATGCGTGCTCGCTCCTGACCCAATTCTGTGTGTTCAGCAGCAGGAAACAATGGCTCCAGCTGCTGTCTCTCTGTCCAATGAGGAGAGAGAACTGGGAGAGCCACTGCTCTTGTGCACATCACTTGATTGAGAAGGGGTTCAGATAAATATAAGGTGGGACTAGTAGGGGAGCTTCTTACAGAAGGTGTTTTACCTTTATGCACAGAATGCACTAGGGTATAAAACCTCATTCCTTTAGAACCAGTTTACATAAAATACTATTTTCACCTTTTTCTTCTTTGTTGGCTGTCAGTGCTGCTAACCTCCTACAGCCTCTTTGCCGCCACTCCCTGCCTACATTATTATTATTATTATACAGGATTTATATAGCGCCAACAGTTTGCTCAGCGCTTTACAATATAACGGGAGACAATACAGCAACAATACAGTTCAGTACAAAAGGGTTTGGAAGGGCCCTGCTTCTCAGAGCTTACAATCTAAGATGCACTACAGTGGTGGCTGTATGGCAAATCTCAGGGCAGTAATCCTGGTGGTGACAACAGTGGACCGTGCCTATGTAATGTGTGCTGAACTGGCCATTTTTTTGTTTCAGATAGATTGTGGAATCATTACAATCCCTCTTGGGTACTTACAGCTATCTGGGACTCTATTAGAGAGTTGACCCCACTTCTTGTCCTGCTGACAGAAAGTGAGGGGAAATCTAACACAGCGGTGTTGGCTGCACATACATTTTAACTCTTGACATGGTCCATTTGTTTGAGGTTACAGCATTTGCATATATTGGATGTGAATGGCTTGAAATGTATTTATTTATTTCAGGTACTTATATAGCGCTGTCAATTTACGCAGCGCTTTACATATATATTGTACATTCACATCAGTTCCTAACCCTCAAGGGGTGTACAATCTAAGGTCCCTAACTTACATTCATACATACACATATTAGGGGCAATTTAGACAGGATCCAATGAACCTACCAGCATATCTTTGGAGTGTGGGAGGAAACCAGAGTACCTGGAGGAAACCCACGCAGGCACAGGGAGAACATGCAAACTCCAGGCAGGTGGTGCCATGGCTGGGATTCGAACCAACGACCCTAGTACTGCCAGGCAGATGTGCTAACCATTTAGCCACTGTGCTGCCGAAATATAGTAGACTTCCAGCCAAACTGTTCTTTCTAGTTAGGATAGATGGTGAAGGGATGAAATCTGTTGGGCTTTATTGCTGTCTGCATCCTAGTGGGGGAGATTTTCCACTTCTTTCTGTTGGAGTGGCACATTAGAAAGTAAGGAAATATTCACAGGCAAACCAGAAAGCACCAACTGAAAGCCTGTCCAAGATTTTGAGTCTTTCCTGCTCCCTTAAAAAAAAAAAAGTTTTTATTATTGTGTCTTCTTTCCTTCCTAGTGACATATTAGGATGTGAAGAGAAAAATGGGAAATCTTAGGGATACACTACAACAAAACAATTAATTATAATTAGAGTTAGATCCTGATATAGGTTATTATTTCTGTTCATGATGTCCTGTCCAGGTGACAGCTGCACTTCTTCCTTCTTGTCCTGCAGCCACAAGGACAAGAAGTGAGGTCAAATGTCCCCAATGGAGGTTGCAGACTATCATAGACATGTGAGGAGTATTTGCTCCTTCTTAGTCTATTCAAAACTTAAAAAAAGAGAGGTTTTGGCTGGAGTTTTATCTTCCGATGCTTTGCAATTAACAACCCATTATTTTCTAACAGAGTTTTAATGAACTCATTTTCATAGTTGTGATGATGCTCAGCCCACCTTTTGTTTTGTACTAGACGTCCTGAAAGAAGACCAAGATGCTGTCGCGGCCTAAGCCCGGAGAGTCAGAAGATGATCTCTTAAAGTTCCAGAGTCAGTTTCTTGCTGCTGGTGGTTCTGCAGCTGCAAAGGTCATGAGAAAAGCTGATAAGAGGAAAGGGGCTGAGGATACAAGCAAAGAGGCTAGCGGAGGAACGGAGGGGAGAGACGTTGTGTCTATCGAAGGTATAGATGTGTGTCCAGTTAATTCACAGGACTTTCTGCTATTTTACACAATATTGTCCAATAAAGCAAACCTGTCATGAGGGAAACACATTTTCTTTTGCTCACCTTCTTTTGAAAATACTAATTGCCTAGATTTGTCCAGTTTTTATGCTTTGAGTCCCTGACCTGGAGCAAGTATGCAGAACAGGGAAGTCACAGAAAAGTCCGAAATTCCTATTTGCATATTTGTTCTTTCAGTAACTACCAGAAGGTCAGTATGACAGCCATGTGATCCATAGTTTTGTCTTGACATGTCTACCTAAAGCAAACCTGTTACTAGTCCAAAAAATGTAAAGTCTGATGCCTTGCAGCTTGCTGTGTTTTCACATACTGGCTGCTTTGTCACTACTGTGGGTGGAACCACAGAATGCAGTGGTGGACCATGCATCTGACACAATCAGAACTGTCTGATAGCAGCAGGGGCCATAATTCTTCAGGAGAAAAAAGACTGAAGTTACCACCCACTGGAGAAATTAGTTTTTTTTTTTTTTTCATCAAGTTCTTTTTTGACTGGTGATAGGAGTGTTTGAAAGCAGTTCTTCATCAAAAATCAAGGTCACTGTTGTGTCGTGCATTACTGTGTATTTTGAGCAGGCTGCCAACAAAGAAATAAGGACCAAAAACAGATGTGCAGTATTATTTCCAATGCAGTGTTACTGCAATTCAAAATGAATTAGAAATGAATGGTACTGCTACATGTTAACACATGCAATACACACATTACCGCAACACACTGCATTGCTAAAGTGTATTTTAGTCCTTAAACATTAGGCTCCCTTCCCTATATTAAAATACAGCATTCCTTGAAAAGAGGTTGCTGCCCTGTGATGCAGTGTCTTGTGAGATTTGGGATAGTCATCATTCCCTGGGATCTAGCTAGAAGAATCATGATATCAGGCATGTAAAACAGGCATATCAAACTACAGCTCCAGCTGTAGGTGACTTCATCTATTTATGTACCAAGTGGTTGAGAATCTGATGAATTTCGGGGGTAAACCCCCTTCCTCAGAACTAAAGGAAGTAAGAGACAATGGTCGGGAATTCCTGGAGCTGTGGTGTCATTCATTGGCTCCCATGGCCCAGCTTTTGTTATCTGTCCCCTTCAGAAGCAACTCTCTGACACAAGAGAGACTGAGCTGCAGTATTCAGCCGGCAGTGAGTGAAATCCCACTGTCGGGTGATGTCACAGAGTCAGTCCAGGCTCTGAAAAGATCCCAAACGTATGGCCGGAGTCTGGACTGGCAGCTGGGTTAGCCTCTCAGTGATCTACTGAGAGCCTGAGCCAGCCCCTCCTGCTCATCCACAGCCTAGTACTCCAGAGAGCCAGCAACTGACAGTCACAGCTCTCTGCTCAGAGCAGAGGGGAGAACTGAGTGATCGTGGGGTGTAATCGCTCAGTTCCCTGTGCAGAATCGGCAGGGGACAGACGCAGCATCGGATTGATGCTGCCTCCACCCAGGTGAGGTGAGAATGTTTTTTTTTTTTTCCCTAAAGCCCATACTTCTCTTTTAAAAATACTATGCAAAAGCTTGCTGAACAAAATGCTCTTACACAAGCTGAAGCCTGTATGAACCAGGCTCTAGAGATGTTAATTTATTATAAATGTCCCATGCAAAAGATTGTGTTTTGTGCTTTTCATGTTTTCTGAAAATAAATACATTTTACTACAACATTACAAGGTAATTCAAGCAATTTTGTCCAGGTTTTCGATTATACTGTAAGCATACAAATGCAACCCAAAATTACATTGTCCATTTGAGATGTAGTGCAATATGGCTTAATCTACTGTTGGATCTTTATTGTTGTCTGGACCCTTGGCCATCCCTAGCCTGGTTGTGATAGGCTGAGCATCCCTAAACCACCAAATAGAATTTTCTGTATATGGATTATATGAATAATTCACTTTTGCCAGTAATACTGGAAGATTAGCTGAAGTGCCAAGCCCAGCGTTTCACAAATCGTGCTGTTAGGAGAGCTGTAAACGAAGTGTTCGTTGTATGTTATCACAGAGCTTTTCTTCTTCAAAATTAAAATTGTGCATATTGTGCAGATGTATAAATAACTTTCTCCTTGCTTAATGAAGCAGCTTTGGGATAAATAGGATAACTAAAATGCAATAAACATTCTCTAAATTTTTTTTTTTGCTTTAGATTTCCCTGACTTGCCTCCAATTCTAACACCAGGACCATCCAAAAAGTCAAAAGTTGCTGGAACACGAGTTCGTTTTGCTTTAGAAGATCCAGAAGATATATTGGAAAAACATGACCAACATGTCACTACAGTTATCTCAAAAATTATTGTGAGCTTTTTTCCATCACCTTTATGCGTTTGTTTTATCTTTGTGTTAGAGCAGTGGTTCTTAACCTTGTTGGAGGTACTGAACCCCACCAGTTTCATATGCGCATTCAACCAACCCTTCTTAATTGGAAAAATAAAATATGATTTTTAAAATTCAAAACATAGGTATATATTTATACATAGGTGCACAAAATGAACAAAACCGTTAAGAACAAAGAACAAAACCATTAAAACATGATTTTCACACAAAAACAAAAACATAATAATGAATATTTACTGCACGAATCATATGAGTCGGGTGTGGGTCTTCACCTCCGCCGAACCCGCGAGACTGACTCACCGAACCCCTGGGGTTCGATCGAACCCAGGTTAAGAACCACTGTGTTAGAGTTAATAATACTGAAGTTAACTCGGTAAGGGCCCTTTCACATGAGCATTTAGTCCGGATCTGTCTGTCAGTTCTTCAAATAGATCGGGTGAGTGTAAATGGATAATCATTCATTTTCATCCACCTACTTCTGTGTCCTTTCAGGTGTGTTTTTTTTTTTTTTTTTATGGAACAAGGCTTCTTCATTTAGGCCTTGTTTACACAGGCATACTACAGCATACACCCATGCAAATGCTGTGTTCTCCATTCAGGGACGCAGCAGCTGCACAAGCACAGCCATTGCTCCTAATTTGATATCTGTGCAGGTATGAGTCCGTCATACTTGCATTCAGTCCACTCATTCACATGGCTGTGTCCCAATTGACTCTAATGGGACTGCCTACACAGGGATGTTTATCCCCATGCGGGCAGCTTGGTCCTTGCAGGGTTTTATGCTGTAATACCCTTGTGTGAACGAGGCATTAGATCTGAACAGATGTAAACTGATGTCTGTTTACATCACTTCCGTTTATATCCAATTTTAGGCGGCTAGCAGGCGTAGCAAAACATGAGGACCTGAACGTACCAAAAGGTTCAGTAGTTTTCTTGGCACATTTATCATGTGTAGGACAGCCCATTCAAATGATTGGGCTGCCCTAAGTACATCATGCAAAAACATGCAAAAAATAAAAGCCTGGAAAAACGTGCATTGACGCAATGCTAAGGTGTGATTGCAACCTTAAAGGATAAGTTCACCTTTTGCACAAAAATAATAAATACACACTTTTTTTGCAGGTACAAGATGTGCATTTATTATTTTTGGCTGCAGGAACCTGTAAAGCATTGCACCAGGGATCAGCAGATCACTGGTGCCATGAAGGTCTCCTGTAGACCTGTCAGTATGGGATGTACGTGCAAGCAGATATACTGATCGAAAGAAACGATGAACTACCACAGCACTCTGGTAGTTCATTGAGCCATAGTTTCCGCAGCCAAAAATAATAAATGCACATTTTTTACCTGCAAAAAAAGTGCGTATTTATTATTTTTGTGCAAAAGGTGAACTCTACAGCGCCGTGGTAGTTCATTGAGAACTACAAGCCGACAACCGCTAAGACTGTCGGGACTTGTAGTCCATTCATTCACAGAACACTGTGAATGAAAGATGCAGCCGTGTGAGCGGAGCTCCGCATAGCAGCGCTGTTTTAAAATACTGACCGCTAGTGCTGGGAACTTCTCCCCATACTTCTGTCACAAGAGGGGGTGGAGGGCAGCATTGGGAAACATGTTACATGCTCCACCCTAAAATAGGTGGAACATGTAACATGTTCCCAAAGGTGAATTTATTGTTTAACCTCCCTGGCGGTATGATTATTTCAGATTTTTGGTGCTGAAAGCGGTACCATTATTTTGCATGGAAATATGTAGTTTTTTTATCGTAGGCTGTAATTTTTAGGAATAACTCACTGAAATCTGTCTGAACAAGAGTCTATGAAACATCCCGGGTAGGATAAAATTTGAAACACAGAATCATAAATTGACTTTTCTAAGTTTCCAGGCAGAAAGAACAGTCAAAATGCAGACAGGGCAAAGCACTAGGGACAATATGTATGTGAAATGGGTTGAAACAGCAATGTTTTACTATGTAAAATTAGTTTTGAAAAAAATGACTTTTTTTTTAAATTTTCAAATTTCCCGGCGGCGCCCGTACGTCCCGACGTCACAGGGACCGGAACACAGAAGCCGGATGCCGGCATCGGCCGGAGGAGATGGCCGGGGACGCTGCAGGGGACACATCGCGGGAGCGAAGGACAAGGTAAGTGCTGGAGGGACTCCCTATGCAGCACCGCATGGTAAGCCCGAGTGTAGCTCGGGGTTACCGCTTTTGGTACAGAAACTTTACCCCGAGCTACACTCGGAAATACCGCCAGGGAGGTTAAAGGCCAACACCAGCCATTTATATATAAAGGGTCAGACAAAAAAATGGAAACACTAAATGAGTTGTAGGTGTGAAAGTGATGACATGTTTTGTGTTGAAAGCGGAAATGATGCCTCCTTTTCACCTTGTTCCATCTCTCCATACTGCGGGATGCTCGGTATGCTTTGCTTCATTGCCCCATACCGGGCCTCTTGGCTCACCAGCAGAAGTTGGCTTCCTATCTGTTTTTATCCGCCACTAGAACAATTGCTCAGGCCTGGAAGAGTCCGTTTGTCCCTCTTCAGGGGGTGCAGGATCGTATGACCACTATGATGATCAACGAACAGATGTCGAGTATCCGCAACGACTCCCAATGTAAATTCTTGAAAATATGGGAGCCGTGGTTGCAATATGCCTTTCCCTCACTCCCCCCGGCTAGTCTGGGGATGTAATGGTGTTCGGTATTGGCGCTCTTGGACCCCTGCTCTCTGCCTGCCCCCCCCCTTTTTTTTTTTTTTTTTCTTTTTCCTCTTTCTTCTTTTTTCACTTTCTCTCTGTTTTTGGTGTGACTGGACAGCTGCATTTAGTTGTTATAGTCAGTTACATTAATGTTTTGTACCTTATGTGCCATTGATAGCCCCTACGCGGGCATACCTTTTGCCCTGTTGGCGTTAGAGCATTGTTTTTCCTTTTTTTTTATTTTGCATTTTTTTTTTTTTTAATCTGTGCAATTGATAGCCCCTGCTTGGGCATGTTTTATTGTCTCTGTTTTATATTGTTTAAAAAAATAATAAAAACCATTGAAATAGAAAGCGGAAATGATGTAACATTCTTTTTTTTGTGCTGTGTGATAAGACACCCAGCTAACAGGTGGGAAGCCTAACTTTCATCATTCACCACATGCGCTGCTAGTAATACGGAGTCATGTCAGAGCTTACTTCACTTCAAAGAGGGCAAATTGTTGGTGCCCACTTAGCTGGTGCCACTGTGACTGCAGTTGCCAATTTATTTGCCATGTCGCAAGGTACAGTATATCAAAGGTTACGATGGAATATACAGTTTCCGGGAAAATAGTCTGATAAACATAAGCGTGGTTGACATGGTCAACTGACTGAAGGAGACTAAGCGACATTGCGCAGGATTAAGACCTGGAATAAGAGCGTAACTGCTGCAAAAGTGATTGCAGAGCTCAGTCTCAGTGCTGTGAGGACTGAAATTGAGCTCTACAGTCACTTTTGCAGCATTTGTTTTCTTATTCCGTGTTACAATCCTGTGCAATGTCCTTTTGTCTCTTTCGGTCAGTTGACCATGACTACTGCACTTCTATTTAGCAGACTACATTTTCCCGGAAACTGTATATTCTATTATAAACTTTGATACTGTACCTCGTGACATAACAAATAAATTGGTAGTCTCCGTCACAGAGGCATCAGCTAAGCAGGCACCAACAATTTGCCCTCTTTGAAGCTCAGCAAGTTCTGACATGACTATTACTAGCAGCGCACACAGTGACTGACAAAAGTGAGGCTTCCGACCTGTTAGCTACGTTTCTCATCACTCGGCAGAAGCAAAAGTGTGTTACATCACTTCTGCTTTCAATGCAAAACATATCATCACTTTCACATCATGTAGTGTTTCCATTTTTCTTTGTCTGACCCCTGTTTATACAGCATATATATTTTTTTGGGTAGTGTGGAATTTGACTGATCTGTGTGTGTAGCAGATCTGTGAAAATCTCAGGACTGGATGGACAGAAATACAAATCCATTGGAGGTAAAGCAGCTACAATATATACTGCTCAAAAAAATTAAAGGAACGCTTTTTAATCAGTATAGCATCAAGTCAATTAAACTCCTGGGATATTGATCTGGTCAGTTAAGTAGGGGGGTTGTTTATCAGTTCCAGCTGCTTTGGTGTTCATATCAGGTGCCCTAAATGGGCAACAATGAGAAGACCGCAAAACAGGAATGGTTTTACAGGTGTAGGCCACTGACCTTTTTCCCCCCACTCATCTTTTCTGACTGTTTTTCACTAGTTTTGCATTTGGCTAGGGTCAGTGTCGCTACTTTTAGCATGAGGCAATACCTGGACCCTACAGAGGTTGCAAAGGCAGTCCAACTCCTCCAGGATGGTATGTCAAAATGTGCCATTGCCAGAAGGTTTGCTGTGTCTCCCAGCTCAGTCTCAAGAGCATGGAGGAGATTCCACAAACAGGCAGTTACTCTAGGAAAGTTGTACAGGGCCGTAGAAGGTCCATAACCCATCAGCAGGACCAGTATCTGGTAGCAGGAATTGATACCATTGAATGGCCCCCTTGCTTGCCTTACTTAAATCCAACAGCACACCTCTGGGATATCATGTTTCAGTCCACCCAACACCGCCAGGTTGCACCTCAGACTCTCCAGGAGCTCAGTGATGCCCTGGTCCAGATCTGGGAGGAAATACCTCAGGCATACATACAAGTACTTGGGGGCCATACACACTACTCATTACCATTATGAGTTGCTGCAGTGGAATTTCAGCAAAATGGACTAGCCTGCTGCATCATATTTTCACTTTGATTTTCGGGGTGTCTTTGAATTCATTCGTCTGTAGGTTGATCATTTTTTATTTCCATGACACAATGGGGCATCCTTGCGTTCCCTACACATTACCCAGTCCATATCGGTATAGATATCCAGCATGATATTTTTACCCATTGAGATCTGATGTGTTTTCAAAGTGTTCCTTTAATTTTTTTGAGCAGTGTATGTATTTCATCTTTGTATTTAGCTGTTTTCTTGGATTTCAGCTTGCTTGTTTTGAGCCACATTACAATATTTAATTTTTTTCCCTGTGTCTGCAGGAACGGGACACAAGTACTGCCATCATCACAGCACCTGTTCCTACAGGAGAGCCCTTTCCTCGGGTCTTCCACAGATCAGAGATACCTAGTGCGGTGAGAGATTGTTCTTTGTATTATTTCTTTTCCTGACAAACTAATTGGAGATCATATTTGAAGTATATTTGCTATATGTTGATATGAATGGAAGCCTGTAATGGGACAGAAATCAAGAATGCCAGACTTGCACTGCAAAAAATGCTGCTTGCCTGGTTGACCCTGACTTCTGTATTTTCATGGACCTGGAAAACACATCCAGCCAGTGGAATTAAGAACTACTGATTTGCTCACTAGTCTCAGGTCAGGGATTAATAAAATACTGAAGACAATAGATAAGCATAAAATGTAACTAACATTTTCAGGAGAGACCAGCCTCAGAAGTTTCCATATTTCCATTCAAATTGGTTCACATTAAAGTATTCCTTTCTGTCAAAGAAACCAGCTAGTTTGCTGCTTCTTGGGTACTGAGACTTGTCATGCTCAATGGACCAATAGTTAAGTGCGGGAGGGATCAGGTTAGCCCAGCAATGGGCAAACTACGGCCCGGCGGACCTTTTAATCCGGCCCGCGGAGCGTGATACTGTCAGGATGGCTGTCAGGATGTGTGTAGGCGGGGCAGCGTGACGAACGTGAGGGGAGCTAGGCTCCTCTCACAGCCTGCCCTGAAGACCGGAACGGCGCGGGAACACGGCGAGAGGAACGTGTGGAGCAAAGGTACGTAAATTGACACGGGGGACTTGGGGACTTAATATGGGGGATGAATTAATATGGGGAATGAATTACTATAGGGGGGATGCATTACTATAGGGGGGATGAATTACTATAGGGGGGATGAATTACTATGGGGGATGAATTACTATATGGGGGATGAATTACTATATGGGGGATGAATTACTATGGGGGATGAATTACTATATGGGGGATGAATTACTATATGGGGGATGAATTACTATATGGGGGATGAATTACTATATGGGGGATTAATTACTATGGGGGATGAATTACTATGGGGGATGAATTACTATGGGGGATGAATTACTATATGGGGGATGAATTACTATATGGGGGATTAATTACTATGGGTGATGAATTACTATGGGGGATGAATTACTATATGGCGGATTAATTACTATGCTTACTATGGGGGAATGTTACTATACTTACTATGGATGACACATACACATCATTCATCTACTCTTGGTCCGGCCCCCGGGTCCAATATATGAACCCATTGCGGCCCTCAAGTCAAAAAGTTTGCCCACCCCTGGGTTAGCCCATTGCTATGTGCTTGTTAGAGATCCCGAGACACTGAAGAGGACATTAATATAATGTAGGGGTGCACAAGTAATGGAGGGGTGCCTTTTTTCATTGAATTGCATCTTTACGAATTGTTTTCAGTGAAAGCTGTTACTTTTCAGATTTTAAACCCAGGTGTGTTAATGTAAGTGTTACTGTTGTAAGAAGACTAACTGCTCACCATTGGCATTCACAACCTCTCTCCTGCCCCCTGCTCCCTCTCCACAAAAAAGACCACAAATGTTGGAACATGAAAAGACAACTATATTTAAAAAAATGCATATTGGTACTTTTATCTGTTTAATACGTTTCTGGTCAGTCTTTTGTTCTGATCAAATTTTTTCTCTCTTTCACACATCTTCAGTTATATTTCTCTTTACTATTACATATAGAGCTTGTTATCCATTAAAACTGATGGCAACTGAAATTTAGTACAAATCATAAAACTTGAGACTTGGTCTTAGCATTTGCTCCACATAGTTGTTTAATTTAAAGGATATGTTCACCTTTCTTAAAATGTTACATATTACACCTGTATTTGGGGTGTTACATGCTACTATGCAGCACCCCTCCTAACCCCCTGCCCCCCGCATGACAGCAGACAGGGAATATTTCATTTATTCTCCCCCACAGCTGATGTTACATCTTAAAATTGGTTCCACCTGCACAGCCCCATCACTCATTTGCAGATATCTAGGAATAAATAAATGACAAGTCCCATCTGCCATTGATTTGCGCACTTGTTGTCCATTCACTCTTCTACAGCTCTGAAACTGACAACCTGCACAGAGCTGTAGGAAGTGTCTGCAGGAACCCAACATTGCACCCACAATCCACTGATCATGGGTGCAATGCTCTGCAGACTCCTGAGGAAAAAACAATTACAATTTTTTTTTTAAAAGATGAACGTACCCTTTAATGTCTTCAATGCCAGAAGCTAAAATTGCCCATCCCTTCATCATATATAGTTCCAGATTGCCATATGTGGGAAGTTAAATCTAGAAAACATGACATGTTCTCTCCACAAAGGATCCAAGCCTATGCAGGCCTTGCTTATAGCAGTTTGAGATCTCCAACTACTGCGCCAGTGTTTTGCAGCATTTAATTCATAATTTATGGCTCCTAGCAGTGTAGACATTGGATTATACAGGTATATAAAACAAATTAATTGCTTGTTTTCAACGATTGTTTAGAGCAGCCTTTCTCAAATACCCCAGGGAAAACCCTTGAAATAATTTTCAGGTCTCCGAGAACCCCTGCTAAAAATATACTTGCAGCTCATGGTACATTAACATGATCAATAAATTGTAGAAAAGTTAAAGCTAAAAAAGAATGTGGTATACCTTGAGTATTTGACGCTTACACCCACTGGCTACACTGTGTGCACAATTATTAGGCAAGTGAGTATTTTGACCAAAGCATAATTTTTATGCATATTGATCAACTCCAAGTTGTATAAAATTGAATGCTTATTGGATTTAAGCATATCAGGTGATGTGTATTTGTGTAATGAGGCCTAAGGAGATTAACACCCTATATCAAGGTGTGCATAATTATTAGGCAGCTTCTTTTCCTCAGGCAATTTCGGCCAAAGAAGAGATTTAACTGACTGAAAAGTCAAAAATTGTAAAATGTCTTTCAGGGGGATGCAACACTCTTGAAATTGCTAAGATATTGGGGTGTGATTACAGAACCATCAAAGGTTTTATTGCAAATAGTCAACAGGGTTGCAAGAAACGTGTTGAGAAAAAGAGGCAAATTAATCACTAAAGATTTGAGAAGAATCAAACGTGAACCCATTATCCTCCAGTGTTGTCATATTCTAGAACTGCAACCTACCTGGATTGCCCAGAAGTACAAGGTGTTTAGTGCTCAGAGACATGACCAAGGAAAGGAAGGCTGAAACCCGACCACCGAACAAGACACATAAGTTGAAACGTCATAATTGGGCCAAGAGATATCTGAAGACAGATTTTTCAAAGGTTTTATGCACTGTTCAGGTGAGATTGACTTTTAATAGGCCAGTAACAGGCACAGAGCTCCACTTCGACTCAGATGCCAGCAAGACGGAGATGGGGTACTAGTATGGGCTGGTATTAATAAAGATGAGCTGGTTAGGCCTTTTTGGGTTGAAGACGGACTCAAAATCAAATCCCAAGCCTACCGCCAGTTTTTAGAAGACACTTTCTTCAAGTATTAGATAAAATAAACTTATATATAAAAAATATATATAAAATCGAGCGCAGTATGTGGATGTAGATAGGGTAGCTGCTGGCACAAAAAGGCACCTCGTGAACCTCCAGAGTAAATGGTAAAATATGAAAGTGAGCGCTAACTTAAAACAATGATTACACATATGATAGATCCCATATGAATGTGGATCGGCAAAATGACGGCGTCAGTTCATCAGATGTGCTAAATACGTATACAGTCTCCAACGCGTGAGGAGCCAGAGATAGTAGATATCAGAAATGATAAAGAATAGCCAAGTAATGCACTAACCAGATAGCGCATGTTAAAGCGCATGGGACATTTAAGACCTGTCCCTGGTACTCAGCCACTGTATCACTGGAGCAAGGCGGTGTCATCTATAGGGTGACCACTAGATGTCATCTGTCCAGATGGAAGCTGTATCCAGCCACTGTGTTAATGGATCAGGTGGGTGTCATCTATAGGGTGACCACTAGATGTCATCGGTTCCAGGAGAAGCTGTATCAGGGATCCAGGGATGTCACTGCAGATGTGTTCTTGTTAGGCACAGTCCCAGGACCTTCTGGATTTACAGGCTCCCCAGAAATAAAGAGCCCGTGGAAAAAGGCCTCAAATGTGTGATAACGTTTATTTAAAAATGGACAATCAGAAAAGAACTTACTAGCAAAAGGTACAGCTGCTTATAAACGGCCAGACCGGAGGTACATGTACATAAGATAGCTTGGCACTTCCCTTTAGGCAGCTGTACCTTTTGCTAGTAAGTTCTTTTGAGGCCTTTTTCCACGGGCTCTTTATTTCTGGGGAGCCTGTAAATCCAGAAGGTCCTGGGACTGTGCCTAACAAGAACACATCTGCAGTGACATCCCTGGATCCCTGATACAGCTTCTCCTGGAACCGATGACATCTAGTGGTCACCCTATAGATGACACCCACCTGATCCATTAACACAGTGGCTGGATACAGCTTCCATCTGGACAGATGACATCTAGTGGTCACCCTATAGATGACACCGCCTTGCTCCAGTGATACAGTGGCTGAGTACCAGGGACAGGTCTTAAATGTCCCATGCGCTTTAACATGCGCTATCTGGTTAGTGCATTACTTGGCTATTCTTTATCATTTCTGATATCTACTATCTCTGGCTCCTCACGCGTTGGAGACTGTATACGTATTTAGCACATCTGATGAACTGACGCTGTCATTTTGCCGATCCACATTCATATGGGATCTATCATATGTGTAATCATTGTTTTAAGTTAGCGCTGCACTTTCATATTTTACCATTTCTTCAAGTATTGGTACAGGAAAAAGTCTGCATCTTTCAAGAAAATCATGATGTTTATGCAGGACAATGCTCCATCGCATGCATCAAAGTACCCCACTGCATGGCTAGCCAGTAAAGGCATTAAAGATGAAACAATAATGACATGGTCCCCTTCCTCAACTGACCTAAACTGTATTGAGAACTTGTGGGCCCTTCTTAAATATGAGATTCACGTTGAAGAAAAATGGTACACCTCACTGAACAGTGTCTGGGAGGCTGTGGTTGC